TTCACAGCACGGACACGGGATGCATCCTGCTGGATCATACGCACATGCAATCGTGCAGCAAGGCTATTCTGCCTGAAATGCAATGGGATTTGGATCTCTCCGTTAGGGCTGCAAAGACTCATGTTTCCATTTTTGTTCACCATGCTGAATCCGGCGCGGTACAACTTCCCAACTGCAAGAAGAGGTGTGGTGATGTGGGGAGCAACCAAGAATGTTTCGGTGAATCCAGGCTGATCACCGAAGCTCAGCTCAGCTCGCCTAGTCCCGTGAACTAGCAGCTGATTCCCCTGGGCATCTTGAAAACCTTCCCATGGCCTTCCAGAGGAAACTCCAAGCATGCTGAGGTTTTGCGGTAGACAAGAGGCGTCAGCACCTGAGTCAATTATGACTTCGATCTCCATGCCATGCTCGGCATTCTGCTGGACCATACGCACTGATCCACTGGTCGAGGTCACACCCGAAGTGTGCTCAACCACATCACGCTGACACACGCCCGAAGCGTGCTCAGCCTCGCTCTGTGCATCACTCGGCAATGCATTGTGGAAAACGCACCACCTCGATGGCACACAACGTGAAAAGATGCTCAGCGCTTTGCAAAAGAAACCCGAAGCTCCCTTGCTTTGCCTGTCTACTTCGTCTTGGCTCTCCACACAAGAATCACAACCTGACACCATGCGGATCTCACCTCCGGCTGACTCATCAAAGTCATCGAGGTTGTAGGTGACTCGTCTCACCTGGGGCTTTGCAGCAGGTTTCGCCTTGGCAGGGGCAGCTGACACGGCTGTGTCAGCATGTGCAGCGCTGCTATCAGCAACAGCGGCGTCTTCAACCTGTCTGACTCGCTTGGATCGGCAGTCTCGGGCAAAGTGACCCTTTCGGCCACAATTATGACAAGTTTTGTTTGCGGCAGGGTTAGGGTTTGTGCTGGGCGGAGGCCTGGACTTACCATCCCCTTTCTTACCATCACCCTTACCCTTCTTACCCTTGTCATATCTGCCCTTCTTACCACTTTTATCTCCCTTATCACCCTTCTTAGTCTTGCCTTTGCTTAGCCTATCAATCTCTTTTTGAAGGCGGTCGATTTCCATTGGAACGGCTTCACTGGATGCTGCAGGCGCATTCACAAGCACACCACCTTTGCCCTCTGACAGGCCATAAGTCGCTGCAACAGACGCACTCCACTTTGACGAAGAAGCATCATATCGAGCAACCAAACTTCGCAACTCGGCATATGTCCAGGAGTCTTCCATGGTCAAGTTCACATGCTGACGAAGTTGGCCTGTTAAACATCTCAGAAGCGAAACAACCTTCTGATCATCGGACATGGCCTGTGATGCAATCGAGTCATACTCTGCCATCGCCTGCTCAAGCCTAACAACCTGAGTCAGGAGGCCTTGCTTGTTGTCGAACACAGGCCAATTGTGGATTGTCTGCATGAGGGCCAAGGCTCTGGTGCGGGATGAAGGGCGAAGGTCAAGCGAGATCAAGCGGTATGCTTCGTACCCGTTATTGTCAGACACAGTCTTAAGAAGACGCTTCAGACGGTCGTTCAAAAGCGATGCAAGCAGGCCATACATGATGCGTGACCTGTCGAGCTCAGTGGCGCTCAGCTGTGCAGGGAGAACTTCAGTTTTCGGGTTCGATTTCAAGCGAGTGAAGTCCACCTGAAACTCCTTATCTAAGGTTCCCAAATACTGCTCAAACTCCCAAGACCATGCTGGCCACTTGATCAGCTCCTCATCTCGGGTCTGACAAGAAAAGGTTGAAGGATGCCTCAACACCTTGCTCAGGTCTTTGGCCGCTAGACCTGTGAGTAGGATGTGGTCGCAGCGGCTGCTGCGGCGCGGGATTCGGACTGGCTCCTCAGAAGCTCGGTCAACACCTGCTGGTTCTGCTGCATTCCTGCAAGAATCTCCAAAAGGCGAGTCTCACCATCTGTTGGACCGGCGCTGCCGGTTGGGCTGTGGACAGGGCTGAGTGCTGGGCTTGCTAGCGGATGTGGCCCAGCTCCATTCCCATCGGTCATCACTCCCAATCTAAGGAAGTCTCGGATGCAATGCTCGTGTCACTATCTAGATCGTACTCCACTCCAGACGGACCAAGGTTTCTGCTGAAACTGGATGACGATGCTGGATCAGTGGATAACTGAAACTCCACTCCAGACGGACCAAGGTTTCCGCTGAAACTGGAGGACGATGCTTGGAAATTTCTCTCACGCAAGATTTTCTTAGGCTCAAAAGTGAGAACGGTGAAGACTGCTGCAAGGTATGCTTCAAGCAGGGCTCGCTCACCACTCAACAACTTGCAACCGTAAGCAATAATCTCTGGCGCGTTCTGGATCCCTTTCAGTTCGGTTTTCTTCTCCTTCCGCCTCTGCAACTGTCGACGTTCGAAGCTCAGGATGCTCAAGGACGGAGTGCAAGGTTTGCCACACTGAAGCTCGATGTACCACTCAAGAACAGTTTTGCGAAGCTTATCCAACACTCTTTCGTCGTCCCAAAGCTGAAAACACTGAATCTGCTCCTCAAGTTCTGGTGACACCTCCGTGGCTGGTAGGTGACAACACGAGTCTCGAGGAGATTAGGCTGGCAACCGCCTAGCCTTCTTCGGCAAGGCAAACGAAGGCTATGGCTGGAAACTACGGCAGCAACTAATGGGGTTTGGGTCCTGACCCCGGGAGGTAAGGGTCCTGCCTCCCTGAGCACAAGTGAATCCGAGGCCCCAAAGGCTGGATCACAAGCGCTCCGCTACCATGAAAACTTTTGATACTCACGAGCACAGCTGCATCGGCACATGACATGAGACATGACTGTAAAGCTTCTGGGCAAAACAAAACATCCCACCACAAGAAATCTTCACAAGGAAAATACATGGTTAAGGGTCCCATGTAAGACATCGAAATCGTGATCAGCTTGAGAAGCATCCTGGCTTCGGCATCATCTATGCACGTGCCCGGCAACAAGCAAGGAAAGAAAGCGAAGCAGCTCGGCAACAACAAACTGGCACGAAAGCCTTCTTGGCATCTTCGACCGGGTCAGCAGTCCGCGCTGGGGCCTGCAAGCGCAAGACCATCCCAAGTAACCCTAGCTCCACAAACTTTGCAACACAGCTTCGACCGGTCCTGCTTTTCGGAATCTGAGAGCTTCGGTGCACCTGGCAGGGTTTTTGGCAACTGCACTGCCGCAGAAATCTGATGCAACCTCCAACCTGTGCCTGCGCCACGATTCCTTCCAAGTGACCACCTCCAAACAGCAGCAATACGTGCAAAGTAAAACGAATAGCCGAACAAGAACATGCTCTCGCACGAACAACAGAAGCGCCAAGCTGGGCCAGGATTGCCCACCTCTGGGGCGCTGCTTTCGCAGTCCTTGTAAGAAAAGCCATCATCGCGCAGCCTGCGGCCGAACAGCTGCGAGCAAGCAAAAGCACAAAAATCACCCACGTGCAACAACAAATCACAGGAAAAGACCTGCAAAAAACTCCACACGAAAATGCCCAAGAAAAACCTCCCACGAAAACGACATTCTGGTGGGAAGGTCTGGCAAAAACAGATAAGCAACACGCCTGCTGATTAACATCGTCGAGACCCCCTTTTCCATTGCTTCCTGACAATTAGTTCCAGGTCGGACGCTTACCGTTGCACTACAGGTAGCCGATCTCAACAAATCAGCTGGATCTCGCCCACCAAACGGTTGAGCGCAAACGGGCTGCACAAATGAGCAAAAAAAATCTCAGAACAAGCCGGATTTTCAAACCCATGCTCCCGGACTCAAGCCTCTGCAAGCGAAAATCAAAATTAAGCAAGTTCTTTCCCAGTGATGTGGTCGCTTCACTGAAACATCAAAATCGAGCAGCAAGCAGAATAGTACAACTCAAAGTGGGAAAAAATCTCCAAGTCAATCATGTAAAAGATTTGACACGCTTGGCACGCTGCTTGGTGGAGGGGTGCCGGCGTGCCAACCGTGCCAGGCATTTTGGCACACCGAGTTTTGGCAACGTGCCGGCGTGCCGGGCGTGCCAGAATTTTGGCACGCCGAGTTTTGGCAAAGTGCCGGTGTGCCGGGCGTGCCAGAATTTTGGCACGCCGAGTTATGGCAACGTGCCAGTGTGCCAGACGTGCCAAAAGGATTTGCCCCTCTAAGGGAAGCCCCCAGGATTGGGAGGGGGCTACCTGAGCGTTGCAGCCGCAACCGTGCAGCGTGCAGAGAGGGAGGCGTGCCAAAAATTCCGGCACGCTTGGCACGCTGGCACGCGGCCGCGGGGAGGCGTGCCAAAATTCCGGCACGCTTGGCACGCTGGCACGCGGCCGCGGGTAGGCGTGCCAAAATTCAGGCACGCTTGGCACGCTGGCACGCGGCCGCGGGTAGGCGTGCCAAAATTCCGGCACGCTTGGCACGCTGGCACGCGGCCGCGGGTACTTGAAGGATCGTGGTGCTTAGTATGTGGCTGCAGGGGTTTGCAAGGTTAGTAAACCCTGTAATTGCAGTTATAAGCTGCGCATCAAGAGATATATCTTCGGAAAGTTGCGCAAGTTGTTTGGAAGACTTAGTAACTGCAGACAAGAAGTTATATGTGATTAGTTTTGTTTGTTTCACTTGTATGTGGTTAACCCTGAAATTATAAACAGGTTATGCCGGTTGTGGGAAGTGCTGTAAAGAGATGTGGAGGATATGTATCTGATTTATAAGTGATGTAAGTTGACATACATGCATAGTTTTTACAGCAACATATGACATCTGTACCCGCGTTTCATGGGGCCAAAGCTCCGCCAGGTGGGGAACCACCAGCCGTCGATCCGGATGGCGCCTGCTGGTGCCCCACCACCCGCCTCTGCTTTGCAGCTTTTGTTTGAGTGCAGACTGCGATGTGCGCCGTGCCTGCCGTGCCTGACAGATGTCGTTGCAGACATGTCATTTTTGAAGATGCCTTGCAGCTGTCGGTGTTGAAGATGCCTTGCAGCTGTCGGTGTGCACGCGGTGCCCGTGCGACTGAAAGCATGAATGGGGATGATCGACTTGCAGGGCATCTTGCTCGCAGTCAGGTCAGACATTGACGTGGTTGCATGTTTCATTGGTGACACGCGCGCAGAGTTTGTTCGAGCAAAGCCTGAAGCCACCGAAGCCATGGCCTTGAAGCCAGAACTTGTTCAGCAGTGCACGGAACTTCTCCGCGACGCTGAAGATGGCGACAGACTTGTCAAGAGTGTCCACGATGTCCTGGGCCTGCTGGAGCGGCATGGGCACGTGTACTCCATTCAACTCAAGCCGGCCATGGTGGGAGTGAGTCCGTTGAACCGTGACGGAAGCGGTGTCAATCCCGTGGATTGTCATGACCTGCTTGGTGATATCCTCTCCGCAGGCTTTGTAGCGTCCCGCGTCACGGCCATCGCCGTGGAGCCTGGCAGTGCTTCGGAACTTGACTGGAACGTCTCTTTCTTCCGGGAGGCGCATGGGTTACTGGGGTCCATCGACCCGACACAGGTCAAGGCCCTGTCCCTGGCCGGATCCCATACCAACGCGGTCCTCCGCCTGTTCTCCCAGGAGGTCGAGCACCAAGGTGACGAGACAGTCACCCACCAAGGCCGACTCAACATGGAGTTGCTCAAAAAGAAAGACCCGGAGTTTTACAGGGCGGTTGAAGACGGCCTGACATGGAAAGTGCTGGGCAAAGCCGTGTCCATACAGCTACCGCAGTTGCTCAGCCTCGTGCAGCGAATGGGGAACACAACTCTCCAGCGCGGCGAGCACGAGCTGCAGCTCATGCGGCGTGTGCACGCCATTTGGCTCTCTCTGAGCGCAGGCGGCGCAGGAGGCTCGCACGTGGACTTTTTAGTCGTGAAAAAGCGAGCCCTCACGGGCAAAAGCCTGCATGCTGCGGCCTTGCCGCACATTTACACGTTCGCGCTGAAACTCTGCGGAGGAAGCTCCCCCTTCCTCCTGGACGAAACCGAAAGATTTGTCCGGTTGCACTCCCCCAGCACAAGATCCCTGGGCGCCGAGTTCTGGCAGAAGGTGTCGGTAGATGTGAAGGGAGTGCAGCAGTGTCCTCGCTTCCGACACGCTGTTGTGACTCGTCATTCAGACGGCGCACTCATGGTTTTGCATGTAGCATGTCCCCCCGCCCCCTGGATGCACTCTCATTTTTGTTCATGCATGAGCCTTGCGTGCGTCATCAGGTGAAGCTGGCATACTGTAAGGAGTGTGTCGGTCAAGGCGACATCCGCAGGATGCTGAGCAAGGACGTTTTGCCCAGCGTTCGCGAGAGCGACAACATCATGTGCACATGGAGAAGGCTGATTGAGCCCCATCTTCCCAGTGATCCGGACCAAAAGAAGGCACTGGACTCCGTTCTCAGCTATGGCGACATGAACCTGGCAGCCTTCACATTGAGTCTCACAAGCGTGGCGGCGGACCTGCAAAAGTACAAGTCTGCAGAGGCACTGGCGCACGACCTCGTACTAGTGATGAAAGGCCTCCTGGGTGTGGATCTGGTGTCACCCTGGGAGGCGCACGCTGGCCAGAAGGATGACAGCCAGGCCAGCCAGGGTGAGAAATCCTCGCCCTCTGCAGCTGGAAGTGGCATGATGAGGGAGCTGCACGAGGACGGATCCGTCAAGGAGACGTCGCAGCTGATGGCTGAGAGCGGGTTCCAAGTCGGCATGCATGTCAAGCGCAAGGGCGACGGCGAGTGTGGCTGCATCCAGAAGATCCTCCAGGGACGTGTGCATTTGAGCAAGCCGGACGGCACCACAGGCCGGCTGAGCGTCGACAGTTTCCTGCGTGGGGACTGGAATCAATACACGCCCAAGGCCCAGCCGGAGCTTCTGGAAGACTTGACCGTGCACAAGCCGCAAAGCTTTCCCGACTTCCAGCACGCAGCCATGATGGCCGACATGATCCTGGACCTGCGCGACCTGCTGGAGAAGCACCATGAGCATGCCTGTCACGGGAAGCTGCACTTGCAGTTGAAGCCTCGCAAAGTCCTGCTGGCGGCTGCGTTCATCGGCAAGAACAAGCTCACTTTGGTTCCGGCTGGTGTCCAGGTCAAGCACGGGCCCAAGAAGCCAGAAGACGCACTCTTCCAGATCCAAGCCCCGACGGCCGGATACTACTTCTGGATCCAGCCCCTTACGGTCTTTCCCAAGGTCGAGGGCGAAGCCGGCTTCGTGAACCCTGCGTTCTTCGTGCAGCCCCTGGCGGAGGAGGAGGCCGTCAATATGGACATTGTGTACGTCAAGGGCAGCCGCTGCCGGAATGTGACGTACCCCGTGCTTAGGAACACGAAGGACCTGCAGCAGGGAGATGTGTTGTATCTGCAGAAGAACAAGGCCCCGGTGCAGTTGGAGCCCTTGCAGGCGGACTCCCCCCCCAAGAAGCGGCTGAGAAGTAAGGGCGCCCTTGCTTGAGCAGCGCCTGTCAGCGGAACCACGCAGCGACAGTCTTCCGGGAAGCGAACCACATTAGCACGACATGCTGCAGTCTCGAAAAGCTCGCACGCACGCATGTGTATAGGGAGTGAGTCAGTGCTCATGCCGCGCCGCTGGACTTTGCCTGTCTGCGTGCGCGAACAGTTCATGTGTGAGCATTGATCGTGATGATATGTATCCCGCAGAGACGAGCATCTACAAAGGTGTATATATGTGTAGCTCATCTCGCATCGGTCTTGGGTGGCTGACGGCGCCTGATGGAGCCCGAGGCTTCTGCCGAAGAGGCACGCTCTCCTTCTGCGGAGGAAGAAGCTGCTGGGCCAGGGGACTTCGTCATGGAGACTCTGCAGGTAATCAAGTACGGCGCTAAGAACTGGGTTCCGAAGCAAAAAGACGAAAACGGCACCACGTGGATCTACTTGGCGAAGTGGGACCGTCACTTCGTGCACTTCGTGCATGGGAAGTTTCTTGACCTCTCCAAGAAAAATCGGGACGGTGTGTCCGTGGACTCGCAGTTCTTCGACGACATGCTTGCAAACAGACAGACTGCATTCAACGGCGCAATGCAGGAGCGGCTCCGGGACGAGGACGAAGAACAGGCGCCCCGTGCAAAGAAGCAGAAAGTCGTCAAAGCCACTCCAAGCAAGCATGCGAGCTTAGCCCCGCATCACGTGAGCATGCAGCTGCCACCTGTCGACGGCATCGAGCATGCCTGCAAAGTCCTGTGGCTCGGCATGGGCACGAAAGGCATATGGTTGGAGTTCTCAGCAGACGTGGTGCGCCATGTTCGCAAGGGACTTCAGAAGTCAGTGGCTAGGCGCCGCCAGCCGAAGGCGAAGAGCTGTCAGGCGAAGGCGAAGACTCGCCAGTCCAAGGCGACGCCGGCGACAGTGAACGAGTGAGTGCCATGTTCGGTCATGCACGCCCTTGCAGGGCTCGCACAGCTCGCGGGCAGTGACTTGATGCAGATGTGCGTGTGTACATTGCTCTCTTCCGCTTGGTTGATGTTCCTCGGCAGCCTTGTGAAAAGGGCATTCGGTATCATGCTGCTGCCGTGGCAGCAGGTTTGCGCTGCGGTGTCCGTGGTTTAGACGCATGTCTGTCACTGTTTGCCACCTTGTGCTGAATTCTTCATGTCCTTGCAGGCTCTGACACATGGCCTTGGGCCATCGACGGTGCTACAGGTCTTTCGCAGAGCAGCCCTGCATGGGCACCAAAACACGTGCACAGAGGTCACAACTCGTATCCACAGATGCTCCTTCTCTCTTTTGCCTTCGTAGTGAGTTCCTCGAGTCGCCATGGCTGCCTACTACTCGTGCTCGCTTGCCACAGATGCACGGGTGTCGCAGGACCGCATGTGTGTACGTGCTGTTTTTAACGTTTGCAGCCGCATGTGCGTGTGGCTGTATATATTTACCCGGAAGGACAGTGCGGAGTGGTGGAGCTTCAGCCAAGCGGCCCTCTTGGGCGGACTGAAGCGGGAGGCCTGCACGTCTGGCTGAACCGCTGACCGTTCAAGTTTGTGAGGGTATATACGGTTCAATAAGGGCTTTGTCTATATATATATATATATCAACCCTAAACCCCAAACCCTCAACCGGTTTAGGGTTTACAGGGTCCTATATAGGGTTTAGGGTCTATATATAGGGTTTTGAGTTTAGGGTTTAGGGTCTCTCTAAACTATATAGGGTTGAGGGTTTGCCTTCTGGGGTTACTATTAGGGTTTGGGGTTTGCCGTTTGGCGTTCTGGGTCGGGTTCAGGCGTGATTTCTGGTTGACACTCTTATATAGGGGGATTCGCCGACAGGAGGGAGCCGACTTGGCTTGGAGAGCCGACACCGCCCGGCTGTCCTGGAGCCGGCAGAAGGGCTGGAGGATCCAAATGCTGGATTGTCCTGTCCTTGGCTTTCTTTGTAGTACTTACGGAGACCTCCTGCGGGCATGCAGCGTCTCCAGGTGGGCTGACTCTCTTTCGCTCGCATCAGGGCGGGCGCTACACGCCGCCGTCTGAAGGATCGACCTGGTATATAGGGTTTCATGTTGAAACAGCAGTCTATATTTTTGTTTGGCCAGGCTGGGAATTCCAGGACTGGGACAACGAATGGGTGCCCTCGACACTGCGACTCGAGGACAGAGTTCAGAGTTTAGGGTTTTAGGGTTTGGGGTTTAGGGTTTATAAAGGATTATAGGGTTGTCTAAACCCTAAACCCTAAACCCTAAACCCTAAACCCTATAAACCCTATAAACCCTAAACCCTAAACCCTAAACCCTAAACCCTAAACCCTAAACCCTAAACCCTAAACCCTAAACCCTAACAGGAGCTGGATTCGCACGCGCCAACGCCCGATTTCGAGGAGGAGGACAGTTTGGAGGAAACAGAAACCGTGAGGCGAGATTGCTATGTGTGCACACATGCAGGAATCGTCCGAGAAGGAGGAGGAGGCATTGGATAAGGACGGCGACTCGAAGGTTGGGGCGTTGCATGTGCTCGGCAGCAAGATGTTGTGCACCGGTTATTTTGTGCTTCGTAATTGCGCTTGACCGCAGGGCCCAGCAATTGTGCTGAAGCCCAAAGCGAAAGAGAAGGTCCATTTAAGTTTTGGGGTTTAGGGTTATATAGGTCTTATAGGGTTAGTCTCTCCCTCTGGCCAGGCGAAGCAAAGGAAGCGATCCCTGAAGGTGGAACTCGTTCTGTCCATTTCGGGTTTAGAGGGTTTAGGGTTTAGGGTTATATAAGGATTCGCTCAGGCCTTTTTGCACCTTGTCCTGAAGGTCACATGCTCACGGCGGCTTTGCCGCGAGGTTGCTGGAGCAAGGGCGAGGGCGCGGAGGGCGGGTCGAGCTTGAGAGGTGCATCGGCGAAGCTCATCCTTAACAGTCAAGGATTCGCTCAGGCCTTTTTGCACCTTGTCCTGAAGGTCACATGCTCACGGCGGCTTTGCCGCGAGGTTGCTGGAGCACACCCGACCTTTAAAGCATTGTTAAGCACCCACCTCGTCAAGCGTTATACACGCCTTGCTTCAGCAAAGGTAAGCGAAGGCTAGGCTGCACAGATAGCCTTCGACACCACTTGGCAAACGAAAAAGCTTCATGGAAGCCGCTTGCCCAAGCAAAAATGTTGTCCCGAGTGCTTGTTGGAAGCCTCGGCAAGTACATCAGGGAGGATGTTTCCTGGACGTAGATCTCCATGACTTTGGTGGTAATCCACCGCCCCCGTCTCCTCACATAGTCCGGAGACTCAGTTGTAAGCATCAACCATGTTGCACCTCCAGCGCGCAAACTGGCTAAGTCGAAGTCGCGGAGCTCGGGCACAGCTCCGTCCTGAAGGCCTATTGCACTGAGTAGCTTCCTGAAGCGGGCTCGTAACGTAGAGCCCGAGCGGGCCCACAGTCTGTCAGAAGCTGCCAACTGGGCAAAGGCGAAGACCACAACATCGACGAGGTCCGGCTGATCTAGCTTTAGGCTTTGATGCTTTGCTGCCCTGAAGCGGGTCTTCGGTTCGAGGATGGACATGAAGACTTGCCGTGTTCCCCAACCACATTCCCGCCCAACGTCCTCAGGCAGAACGAGGTCGCGGCGCCTCGCTGCCATCACTTCTCCCACTCTTGCAAGTCCTCCCCAACATAGGGCTATGACGCCAGCAACATCATCCCAACCCCAAAGAAAGGCGACAGTGAGAATCGCCAGAAGCACTTGCCAGGGCAGAGCTGTATGGTGCGTAGGCGGCTCCAAGCGCTGCCAAGAAAAGGCCAGATCCCATGAGGCCTGGAGCTGGCGCCTTATGCTCGGGCACTGCACTGAGAAGGCGTTCAATGTCTCGGCATAATGGTAGTATGGCCTCCCTTCTTCGAAAAGCCATTGCCCGTACCATATGAAAACCTCATTCACCTGCTCAATGTCGCGCTTTGCCAGCTCCACCAGGCCGTCCCACGTACGGCCTCTTCGCAGCAACCAGGAAGCGAAAAGCTCTCTAAGTTTCTCCCGTCGGTCCTTCGTTGACTGCAGAGCGGGCCTGCCTCTTTCCAAACCAGAGCCAGCGCGGGCTTGTCGCCTCTCTTCGACAGTCTTACGGGCCCGCGCATTTTCCATGGCGGCGGCGGGTTGGAAACTACTCAAGACCAGCACAAAACCCTGAATCCTGCCTAAGGTCCAAAAGGGCGAAAGGAAGCGCTGAGGCCCACGCAGGAAAGAAAGACCGAAGCAAAGTCCAACCGCGACACAAGGGCCCTCCCCGGGAAAACCCAAAGTGGCATCAAAGTCAAGACCTGTGAAAGCACGGAAAGGCAGTGAGGCGAAGCGGGACTCATCAGAGGAGAGGGGCAAATCAGCAACAGGCGAATGCAAAGCAAAGACCAGGCGGACCCAATTTGCAGCCCATCGTTTCAGCCGCGGCCGGGCAGTATCGCGCTCAATGCGGGCAAGATCCCAGAAGTCTGGCCCCAAGGCCTGCACAGGAACATCAATGGGCCGGTCTCGAGTCGGCCCATCTGCAGGGATCCATCTAGTGGGGCAGAAGAGCCCCCCGGGATACAGGCCAGCAGCAAGGCAAGTCGAAGAGGTGCGGCGGGTGACATGGCGGAGACCTGCAGATGGGGACCGACCCTTGACAACTGCGCATCTTGCAACATTCGAGTCACAAAGGGTAATAAACCTGGCCGGGGCCTGCTTCAATCCGACGCGTTTGAACAACCTGGCGAGCGACGAAGCCTCCAAGATGTTTATGTGAACCTGGCCTTTCCAAGCCCAGACCTCATCACAGGACCAAGGAAGAGACAAGGCGAGGTCAGCAGGAGCAATCCTCTCGAGGCCTTCTACAGCAAGGTCGTTCTGCCTAAGTGCCGCAAACCGAGTCCTCAGCTCTCGATCGAAACACCCCGCGAGGGCAGTAGCGAAAGCCGGGGGCACAGCACCAGTTGGTTTTGCTGAGTGGCCCCTGACCTGCCTGTGTTTTCCCAAACAGGAGCACTGCGCCACGGCAG